CTCATGTACTTTCACATTCTCTCTTGCGTACCTCATTCTGACTATCTGTTGCTATAACAACTGAATTTCCCGAGTGTATAGTTTATCTTATCTTATATCTTTATTTGAACGTTGGATCAAATGACCACATGTAATATAAATAGCATTAGTGACTACTACTGACAAACCCACACAACATTATTACCCAACTCTGTAGTTCAGCCTTGTAGCATCTTTTAGTTTGTTTTTGTTCCCTCTGACTCACTTGTTCTCAGTATTGTTTCCAGATTCATTAACCAGATGTTTTCAGTGCCCAGCCCTGAACGGCAGCTGGATAGACCAAACCTTCCTAATCTCACTTGAAGTTGTTGCATCATGAAACCCCTGTTTGCTGGGATTGTGTCTCCTAGTGCCAAACCATGTTTGTGTTCTCTTGTGTTTGAATCCAGATCGACAGCCTGGATGTGAAGGCCCAGACTCCTCTGTTCACAGCTGTCAGTGGGAAACATCTCGACTGCGTGGTGGCCCTGCTGAAGGCCGGGGCCGACCCCAACGGCAGCCAGTACAACAACAGCTCCCCGGTGCTGACCGCCGCCCGAGAGGGTGACATGGACGTGCTCAGGGAGCTGCTGCGCTTTGGAGCCGAGTTGGACGTCAGGCCCAAGGTGCCCGAGTGGGCCTCCAGCAGCACGGCGTGCAGAGGGCCCCTGTACATCTCAGCTGTGTATGGACACCTGGACTGCTTTAAGTTGCTCCTGCTGCACGGGGCCAACCCCAACTACAACTGCACAGACGAGAAGATGATGGCCAGGATAAAGCAGCCGAAGACAGTGCTGGAGGTGTGTCTGCGTTATGGCTGCGGGGTGGAGTACATCCAGCTTCTCATTGACTTTGGGGCGGACGTGTATCTACCCACGCTGATCATTGACAAGACGACGAAGCAGAATGAAGCTCTGGTTCTGCTGCTCAAGGAGAGAGGTGAGACCCTGATATAAAGCAGATTGACTAGAACTGTTCTCCCACATTACAAAATTGTTTCTGCCCACACCCAACATTGTCATCTGGCCCCCACACACTGTTTGTAATGATGGCAGTCTCCTGTTTGTCAAATCTGGGCCACAAGTAAGCCATAGCAACACCACGTGTCAACCAAAGCTGCCGAAAGTGTCCTGAATTGTGCTATTTGGGCCACATATCAGAGCCCCTCTGCTTTGGAACGACCTACCTAAGGAGATAAGGCTCGCACAGTCAGTGACTTCTTTTAAATCACTTCTTAAAACCCACTTTTATAGACTTGCTTTCAGGTGATTTTATCATTTTCTTTTCACCTTTTCTCTTATTTTTATTGTCAGTCTACTACTTTGTGACAAGTTTTAATTGACTTCTCTTGCTTTGTTGTCAAAGCACTTAACTGTAAACTCTGCTTTTAAAATGTGCTATATAAATAAAGTTCATTATTATTATGATATTAACCATGGGCCACTTAAGGTTCATATCCAGATCACACCACGTTTGCCAAAAAACGCCCACATTTGTTTTAGGAAATTTGGGCCACATTTTACAAAATGGCTACATAAGGCTCACATCCATTTTGTTCGGGCCACAAAAAGGACCGAGGTGCAGCATCATAGCTTGAAGAGGCCCTCATCCATATGCTATCTGGGCTGTGAAATGCCTTGTGACTCAAATAATGACCCACCTTTGCTGCTTCTCTTCTGTTTCTGCTTCAAGCTTGTCCCAAAACACTGATGTCTCAGACACGGCTGACGATCCGAAGACACATGTCCCTCTCTGACAAGGAGCCTGCCATTGACAGTTTGGACATTCCCCTGATCCTGAGAAACTACCTGAAGCATGACACCTCTGAACTCAAATGACGCCTCTGAGATGTGGCCAGTGAACCTTTTACCTCAGTGCTGCTGGATCATTGATTTTGAGCTTTGACATTAGTTTCCCAGAAGTAGGACAACCAGTCTCACACTGTGGAATATTCTGCCCTGCTCATGTAGAGGTCTTTTTACTGTGAATTGCTATTTTTATTATTGATAGTTTGTGATTTCCTGTAGCAGAAGTATTAATAGATATTTCTAACACTGTAATAGTCTTTTACAACCACTAACTGATGACCATCCTTAAGGCCTCTGCCATGTCCTGAGGAAGTGTAACACCACAGCTGACCACTAGAGACCACTCTAACACTGTATATCGCTAATGTCAGAATATGAGGCCTCCTATTGGCTTGATCATGTGTCACTGTTATACCTCTTTTTCCTGGTATCTCTACACAACCAGATATCGTCTTACACCAGATGTTAAGACATCCAGACACAACTGTGGAAACACACAGACACACACACACTGGCAGCATTCACACCAGGACGTCTCAGATCTTCCTCTGAAAAACCGTCTTGCATCTGCGGACTTCAAAACGCGAGGAAGCCGAGAGATCAGCCAGCTCTTCAGCATGGCCAACTGGGAGAGTGTATTTGCGTAAGTCTCATTACTTATTGATTACAGCATAGTTACTGGCAGGCCACAATTTGGAGCTGGAACTTTGTTGAAAATGTTTCTTTTGACGTGTGAATGCCAGTCCGATGATGTATTTGTGTTTGTCTTAAAATACCTCCTTTGTAACGTGTCCAGGAGTAAATGTGTCAGCAGTTGAAAATGGTGCCTCACAAACAGGAAGTGATGTCACACAACAGGAAACCCAGCACAATGCTCCCACTCACACCTCAACACTGTGACACACAGTTCTGGTAGAGGTTTTATTTTCAACAAAAGTACAGCTATATCAGATATGGATTTATTTTTTACAGCGAAGTACAACATATTCCCAGTGCTTCTGATTACATCAAAACATATAATGTACATACAGTTGACATCTCCACTCTCCCATTCACAGTTTCTGGATTGAATAGGCATTATTTTAAAGTTTTTTTTTTCCATTTCTACAACAAATAATCAAACTGAAAAAGGCCAGCAAGAAAGAAAACAGAATGTTTGCATATGGTGACAAAGGATGTAAATACTGTGAGTAAATTCTACTGTGAAAAAAAGACCTCAAACTACATGGTAATATACAATGGATAGATTTGAAATGTGGGATGTCAGTCTTCTGTTCACCTTGTTACTACTCAACAGCACATTGATAATGTGGCTCATTGAAGACGCAACTGTATTCTGACTATTCTGCAACAATATCCGACTAGATGAGAAGTTCCTATTGAGGATGTCGCTACACTAAATGTGAGTGAACGTGGTTTTTTACTGGCTCATGCACAACCCCCGGATTAAAGAGCAAACTCTGGACAGTCTGCTAACTTAGCTGTCTTGGTTTTATGACTGAAAAGAGAAAGAAAAAGAATCTGCGCAGACGGCTGTCCTCTCAGCTCGCAGTACAAGGTCAGACTGACAATATATATATATATATATATATATATATATAAAACCAATATATACATCCTTTTTAACAATGTGGCCAAAATGGTACTGCTTAATACTGCATTCAATAAATACAAGTGAGGAATCAATTTGCACTGTCAAGTCATTGTATTCCAAAGGATCTTTTGCCATTTGAAACAAAAGCATGATATGAATTGCAATGCAGTACTGTGTGTGCGTGAGTATGTGTGTGTGTGTCTTCAGGATTACATTTATTTTTAGATCATCCCGAGAGGTTTTCGCATTTATTCATCTTTTCTGCTCGACTACAAATCTATACACAAACACCCGTGATCGGTGTTTACGCCTATTTGGCTCACTGTTGTCATAGAAAAATTATACCCGTTTTTTTTTTTTGCCTCAGCAGTTAATGGCATTTTAAAAGAAAATAACCAGCAGTTTGGACCATGACAGCTTAGGTTGAAGTCAAAGAAATGAATGAGAAATAAAAGGTTTAAAACAAGGTTACAGTTTATATAGTCCCCATTATATCTGGGTAAAGAGAGCATCAGTGCCTTTACATCACCTATCCACAGTTCAGTCTTTGACTCGGCACGAGGGGAGGACGTCTCCTCTCCTCGACAATAAATAAAAACAGAAGCTACGAGCTGCGACGCTATGTGAGCAGGAGACAGGTGGACAGAGAAAAGAACTCCCTTCAGTGAGATGGCGTGGCTTCACAAATGAACGGTTCTGAGTTGTGGTGTAAATAAGAAAACAGAGACCCCATTAGGAGTCAAAGGAAACTAAACAATCTGCTAAGAGTTGTCTTAAGTCTCATGCAAAATATCGGATGCCACAAGCATGCATTTACCTGGTAATGAGGTCTACCGCACGCTAGAACTGGAACAACATTCGTCTCCAACGCAAAATACCAATATCCAAATATATGATCTGTCCTTTTTACAGTATTTACAGTGTGTAGCCGATAAAGGTAAAATAGATGACTCTTCTTTTCGATTCATAACTCAGTCATTAATAATATACTTGTGAAACGAATGAAATTCTTGTTTCCTAGATATATATATTGAAATTAAACCATCTCTCAGCATGTTAAATAGATAAAGGAACTCTATGTATTTTCTAAACATCTGAAAAAAGTCTTTTTTTTTTAAAATTGTGCAATAAAATTACAGCTATGTAAGTGTGACAGAATATATAATAAGATGTTTTTAAGTGTTTCAGTCAGACAGCACAGTATCTACTCTTATGGAAAAGGCCTGACCTCTTAAGTGATTCAGGGATTCCCAGTGTGTATGAGAAAGAGAGAGTGAGAGATGCAAGTCCCACACTGAAGGGAAAATACATGACTAATTCAAATCTGCCTGTGAAACTGAATAGATAATCACTAGTGGAATGCTGGAAGGCACTGTTAGATAGCATCTCTCTTCTCCGCAGCAGAACGGGCCAGCAAGTATGTGCATGATTATGTGTTTGTGTGTGTGCGTGCCTGCATGCTTGTGTCTGAATGTTGGTACTGGTGGTGGCGTGGGGTTGGGGGGTTGGGGGGAGCGTGGCGATGGGTGTGGGCAGGCGGGCGTAGCACTGGACCTGAGGTTATCATGGCCTGGGAACCATATCTTTTTCCTGTGCCAGACGAGGGAGTTATCTTCCAAATAAAAAAAAAAAACAATCTCACTGGGAGCCATCTCTACAGACACCAGCAGCCAACTCACCCGTTTCTCAACTTTCTTTACTGAAACAAAACATAAATTACACAACATACAAAGCAAGTTCGAAGGTCTTTTTTTTCCAATAGGTTATAAGGCCTGTAAGAAGGCAAACAAATGACATAGAACGATATATAACTCTTTCATATCACGTTGTAGTGAATAGTGAAGATATATAATGATATATCACATCGCACAAGTTGTCATACTGTATATGTACTGTCCGTCAGGTGATAATAATTCAACACAAAGTGTACGTCTGTGTCTGAGGTCAAAGTATGATCACAAATCATGGACAGGCGTTTGTTTCACTTACATTCCAACTGTAGAAAAGAATACACCTTCATGTTGTGTGTGAATTGGTAGTTTCTCCTCAGTCGATCTTCTCCTTTCTAACTCCCCCGTTGACGGACTCTGTGGCAGGATCTCTCTCTCTCTCGCAGCAGCTTTTTGTTGATTAAACAGATCAATCTGATCTCGGGCCACAGTCCTTTGTAAATCACTTAGCGAGAGCCGGAGCTAACCGCCAGAGCACGGATCAGATCTGGAAAACAAACATGGCGGCGGAGGAAGTGTGCCAAGATTTGAAGCTGCAGTCTTCGGAGATTCATGAATCTGTCAGAAGACACCTGCGTGCTACAGATTAAATTCACCTTTCGGCCTCCCTACGGTATCGGCTAACGCTTCGACAGTGCACTTTTGCAGCACTGACTCACGACTCATGCGGTCGTCCTGTTCATTTAAAATTTCTGCCATATTTCTCTGACCGTTTCCCCTTGTGCTGTACAGAACACTTTCCTATTTTGTCACGCTGTGGCATTGCCCCTGCTAAAGTACTTCTCAGACTGAATATGTGCTGTGCTTTTTACAGTGTGAGCAATACAAAATAATAAAGTAAACTGAAGGAGAAGAAGAAGAAGAAGTAGAAGGAGAAGAAGAAGTAGAAGGAGAAGAAGAAGAAGAAGAAGAAGTCTGTTTTTTTAACAGCTGACGTGAAAAAGAGAGATTGTTTTAGACCTTGGCCAATGCATCAACGTCACTTTTAGCTCTCGGTGGATTACCGGAGGTAGGCCACGCTCTTTCCAAACACCCAGTGAGCTGCCAGCACAGTGCTACAGGGGTGGTCTCTGGGGAGAGTGGGGGGGGGAAGGGATGGGCTCTGACACGAGGCAGGTGAAGCGCAGCGTGCCTATCTGCAGCTCCCAGCTGTTTCATCAGAGTGGCAAGCTCAACCCCACAGCCCCTTCAGCGTGATTGGATATGAATACCCTGTCAGAATTGGTTGGTGAAAGGATGTAAATATTCTATTGATGTTCTGACTATTGATTTGTTCCCTGACCCATCATATCACAGCCAATGGCGGGCTTCCAAGAAAGCGAGGCTCTTCCTCTGAGAGCCACTGACTCACAGAGGCCGAGCAGGTGGGTAGAGAGATAGAGAGGGATGCAAAGAGGGAGGGTGAAGCTGACGTCAGAGGGATTTGACTGTGTATGCAGACGGCTAGAGGAAGTGATTATGTGGCGTCGAGAGTGAGGAGGAGATCCGGACGCAGACATCAGCGGAGCAGAGATGGCCTGAATAGTCTGGTGGATCTAACGCAGAGGTGGCGCTGACAGTCGAGCTTCAAGGGTCCGGTCGTACGCCACAGCCAGGAGCTGAGGCCCGTCATTGTCCAGTATCACATTCAGGAGAATGCAACAAGTAATCTCACATAGCAGCACAGCAAGATCTCAGCTTTTTGGACACAATCATACCATGAGGAATGACCTGGCTTGGCTTGTGTTTCTTTCCAGATGATGGATTAAAAATGAAATCATACAGTATAACAATCTCAATAAACTCCAGGACATTCAGATGGTGTGAACAATGCAGAATCCGAGGGAAGGAGTTCATGACAGTTGACTCAGCTGGAGAAGCATGATAACTAAGAACGTTACTAACAAATATGATGAACTGAGTTTATTTTTTTCCTTAATGTTTTAAATCCAAGTCTTCAGTCCTCTTGCTGCTTCAGATCACACTCTATATTAACATTGGTCCTTAACTTCGGAGTCTCTTGTGTTTGTGTGTGTGTGTGTGTTTCATATTTTTCCTCATCATGGGACATGATCATCCAGTGTTTAGTGCTTCTAAGAAAAATAGCTGGTCCTTCAGAAGAGTCTGTGTATCTCTATTTCTTAAATGGAGCTAATCTACTAAAATTCTGCCAGAAGGGAGCCTGGCCTCTTTTGGATTGACTGAATTCAAAAACCTCTCCTTGTGCCATGTCCTCCGTTACCTCATACTGCCCTGCACTGAGGGGGTCCTGCGGGGGCGGGTACGAGGGGGGCGTGCACCTGTTTACACCTAAAGGGAGGCAGGTGCAAAGAGAGCGAGGAGAGGGGGAGGGGGTTGAAGAAGGCAGTGCAGGGCACAAAGCAAAAAAGGAGACAAAGAAGGGAGGTGGGTGGCAAAGAGGAAACATCGTCAGTATTGATGATCTGAACTCAGACACAACAACACAACATCAAGTCATGCTTCACACAGAAAACAGGCACTAAGACGCACAAAATGAGTTTTCGGTGTGATTACATTACCACATATTAAACCTGAGATATGATACACTGTGATCATATGATGGCGGCTGAATTGGGACAAAAGTGGAATTCAGCTGTAGCGATGACACAAGGGAGACTAAAGATGCTATTCAATCAAACTCTGCAGCAGGCAAACAAGGGAACAGACAGATT